AAAACAATAAACATGTTTTAATAAATTTAATAGAATTAATGAAGTGAATAAAGGAATGAACAAGTAATAATATTGTCTTTTTAAAAAAAAGTTTGTAGATGTTCTCAAGCTGTAATTAAGAGAGGCCCAGTGACCCCTTGGGTGTCCTGCCAAGTGACTCTCTCAAATTCTTTGATGTAACCTGCCAGAGGAGCTAAGGAGCTAACTCTGCTTCACAGCCAAATTCTTGGACAGTTCTCTTTTGTTCTCCAGTTGGAAGAACTAAGAAAAACAGTATTGTATTCTCAAGAGATTTTGGGATGTGAGAGACCCTTTCCTCCAATCTCAGAAGCACAGTTCCAGAGAAATGAAAAGCTGTTGTTCTTGCCCTTTTGACTGTGTACCTGTGGTTCTTGTATGAAGTTAGATCTCCTCTGTGCGTATAGGGAACCCATTGCTCTTTGACGGGTATGGTAGGAAAGGATTGGTGGCTATAGTTAGATTAATGAATTCTGTGGATGGGAAGAGTCAGGACTTCCTGGTGTTTGAGTTTTATCTGAATGGAGTAGCATGTATCCTGTGTGCCTGGCTTCTTTCACCACACAGTAGCATGTATCCTGTGTGCCTGGCTTCTTTCACCACACACTTTGTGTGAGAACCATCCATGTTACTATACTGTAGTCATTCTTTCATTCTCATTGCTGGAGAGTTTCTTAGCCTTGGCACTATTGACATTGGGGATGGATAATTCTTTGTTGCCAGGGAATGCACTATCTCTGGCCTGTACCTGCTAGATGCCATTAGCACTTCCTCATTAGTTGTGACAACTCAAAGTGACTCTAGACATTACCAAATGTCCTCAGGGGGGACAAACCCAGTCTGGGTTGAGAATCACTGCTAAGGTATGAATACTCCACATTTATTTATCAACCTGTGATAGTCGTTTGGGTAATTTCTGGATTTTGGCTTTCATTAATTTAACTTCAATGAACATTCTTTGATGGGGTGGACATACACTTTCATTTCTGATGGGTATTCAGGAGGGAATTGTTGGGTTACAAAACAGGTAAATGTTTCATTTTATAGATAATGCCAAACAGTTTTCCAAAGTGGTTGTACCAGTTTATACTTTCACCAAGCACATGAGTGCACTGGCTGTTTCACATCCTCATCAACAACACTTAACTTTCACTTGGCATGTCTCAGAGATTAAACACTTGGACATATGGGTATTAGCCACTTAAGCATCCCCTTAATGAAGTGCCTGTTAAGTCTTTTGCTCGTTTTTTTTTTCCTATAGAACTATCTGCCTTTTCTTATTGATCTATAGCAACTCTTTATATATTATGGATATATAATGGATATGGATAAGAGTCTTTGTCAGGTAGGTGTATAGTAACACACTATTGTAGTATTGTAGACAATCTTATCTCACTCCGTGGACTCAAATTTTCAGGTATCTATGCTTTTCCCATCAAACCTCCTACTTCATTTGACTGTCGTTACTTATGTAACTGTCCTGTTTGCAAGACCATAAAGTGCAGACACTTTGTGTATGTTTTGTTCACTTTACATCTCCTAGCACAGGGTTTGGGGCAGATTATGGATAAGCTAAATATTTATGGAATGAATGAATTCCTGAACCTTCCACCAGGATGATTTTTGCAACCTAAGGTTTCAATATTATTGATTTCTAGGCAACCCACATTAAAAAGCTTGGAGATTGAGGTACCTACCTGTTCCCCAATCTGCCTGCCTGAGGGTGGCAGCCAGCTCCTGAGTTTGTCTGTCATCCTTCTGCCAGCTGGAAGTCTGCCCACTTACACCTGTCCTGAGGGAGGTGGGGTGTCGCCTGAAGAAGTCACATTTTAATTAACTTTCCCAGCAGTCACTGGAAAGGCTGGGGTTGTTTTCATAAACAAATGAAAGGCCTGAGCTTTGTTTGCAGCTCAGTGTGTTGTGTGTAAGGAATTCAAACAAACCCTCCCAGCTGAGACCCTGTGCATCTACTCAGAACCCAATGGCTCTTGAGGGAGATAGGGTCTGGGATTTGAGGTAAGTAGGAGGAGGGGGAAAAAGGACCAGAAACTGTGCAGGAAAGAATCTATGGGATCATTTCATTTATTCATTCTACACCTACTTATTAGCATCTGTTCTGCACTGGAACTCCTGGTGTGGCACTGTGAACCAGTACTGCACTGAACCACAAAGTGAGCAGTTCAAATCCATCAGCCGCTCCTCGGAAACCCTATACAGGGTTGCTATGAGTCGGAACCGACTCGATAGCACTTAACAACAACAATTCTGCACTGGGAGACCAGATGTGGTGCTTTAAGCTAAGCACTGAACTGCTAACCACAAGGTTGGCAGTTCAAACCTGCTAGCTGCTCCTCAGAAACCCTATAAAGGATCGCTATGAGTTGAAACTGTGATGGCACTTAACAATTCTGCCCTAGAATTCCTGGTGTGGTGCTGTGGGATAAGCACTGGACTGCTAACCACAAGTACAGCAGTTCAAACCCACCAGCCACTCTTAGAAACCCTATGTTGTTGTTAAGTGCTATCGAGTCAGTTCTGACTAATAGCCACCTGTATAGGGCTTCTGAGGAGTGGCTGGTGAGTTTGAATCATCGACCTTCTGGTTCAAACCGACCTTGCCATCCTGCACATTAACCCACAGCACCATACCAGGACTCCTGGAAACCCTACACAGGCTCACTATGAGTTGCAACCAACACGAGGGCACACAACAATATACTGGGGATCACTGTAGGATAAGTACTGGATTGCTAACTGTAAGGTCAGTGGTTCAAACCCACCTGCTGCTCCTTGGAAAACTATAAATAAAAGGTTGTTATAACTTGGAGCCCTGGTGTGGCGCTGTGGGTTAATGCGCCAAACTGCAAAGCTGTTTGACCTGCAAGATTGGCAGTTCAAGTTCACCAGCAGCTCCGCAGAAACAGGGTCGCTATGGGTTGGAACTGACTCGATAGCACTTAACAACAACAATTACTTGGAACAGACACAACAGCACTTAACAATAGCTTCTGCTCTGGAGCCCTACATAGTCAGGGTGACTATGAGTCAGGATCAACTCAATGATGGTGGGTTTGGGTGGGTTTTTTGTTGTTCTGCACTGGAAGGAGCTATAGCAGCATGGTACAGCAATTAAGTGCTTGGTTGCTAAATGAAAAGTTGGCTGTTCAAATCCAACCAGTGCTTCTGCAAGAGAAAGCACTGACAATCTGCTGCCATAAAGATTAGCCTAGGAAACCCTCTAGGGCAGTTCTACTCTGTCACATGGGACTGACTATGAGTTGAAATCAACTTGACAGCACCTAATGGCAACAATGTGTTGTTGGACCCTGGGAAAAAAAGGAGTGAAAATAAATACTGATTTTTGCCCACATGGAGCACACATTCTCCTGAGGAAGACATTCATTCAATAAATCATCGTACAATGAATGACTTAACGACACTACTATGTAATGTTTTAACAGCTTTATCGAGATAAATCTACACACCAAGTAAGCGTACTGTTCAGTGGCCTTTCATATATTCACAAATTGTGCAACCATCACCCTAACCTACCCCTCCTCTCTAGTCCTCGTCAACTACTAATCCGTATTTTTGTCTCTGTGAATTTGCTTAGTGTGGACCTTTCATATACATGGGATCATAAAATATGAGAGAGCTTCAAAAAGTTCATGGAAAAATGGAATGAAAAGATAATAGAATTTTTCCACTAGCATTTTGCAACCCCCTCATATGTAGTCCTTTGTAACTGGTTTCTTTCACTTACCATAATGCTTTAGGTTTGTACATGTCATAGCATGTACTGCTCTGTAATTCATGGTTCTATATAACAAGGATGCTTACCTGTACTGTAGGCAATCTGGAAAGGTTTCCAAGAGGAAGAGATTTTTAATATGAGCATCTATTTACTATATGCCACCAGGGGATAAAAGGCAATAGAAACCATAGGTCTAGCTGTGTAGGAATTCATGATGTAGGCAGGCTGGTCTGGTGTATACAGTCATGGAAACTGAGAAGGTCACTTAAGTACTAAACTTCAGATGAACAGAACAGAGTAGTAAGAGTTACCAGAGTTCAGATGAGGGAGAGGTCACTGTGAGACCTATGAGTCTGCTATCACAGGATAGGATCCCTGACCTCAGGGATCTACTACTCTAAAAGGAGACAGGATAGTACAATGCTTGAAAACTCCAGCCTGGAGTTTCAAACACACCTGCATATGAATATTGTTATTGTTGTTAAGTGTCATTGAGTTGGTTCCAACCCATAGCGACACCTGTATAGATTTCCTAGGAGCAGCTAGTAAGCTTGAACCACTGACATTGCAGTTTAAACCAACTGTGCAGTCCAGCGCGGTACCCCACATTAGCCTATCCCTTCTTCTTCTTCGTGTGTTTCATTGAGTCCATTCCAACTGACAACAACCCTATACAGGGTTTCTAAGGAGCAGCTGGTAGGCTTGAACTACCGACATTGCAGTTAGCAGTATAGTGCTTATCCTACAGTGCCACACTGGGGCCTGCTCAAATAATGACTCTACAGCTCTAGGTCTCAGTTTCCATATCTCTAAAATGGGGGCAATCGTGCCATTGTTGGAAAGATGGAGTGATTTTGCTATACAAATGCCTTCTAAAGGGTCGAGGAGAGGAGTTTACCTACAAGCCAGAGAGTTAGAAGAGTTATCCAGGTGCCAAGCTGGTGGTAGTGGCAGATGCCCTCTGTGAATGAAGAGCCAAGGAGAAAGTGACTTACTTCCTCATGAGCAGAATTGCAATCTACTGGATGGCAACTGTTTTACAACTGGTGTGTGTCTCACTGCCCAACTGTGGTTTGTGTTCCTTTCAGGGAGAGCTCTGTTATATACATCCCATAGTCCCTCAAGATCAGACCCAGGGTCTGGGTCAAAGCAGGTACTCCTTGTTGCTGAATTATATAGTTTCTCTGAAATTCCACTACTCACCTTCACTCTCTCCCTTCCTCAACAGGCTGAACTTGGCAAGCCCCGGGAAAGAAGTTGTAGTCTGCCTGGAATTAATTTTAATTATGGACTCTATATCCGGGGGACAGATGGAGGGGTCCCTGCAGGTGAGAGAGCCCATAAAGGCTTGAGGGTTGGGTGGGGGGCTCATTTCACCTCAAAGAGCTCTCCATCTAGACTGGCAGTTCTGCAGCCGGCCCGTGCCAGGGAAAGGGTACAGGAGCCTGTCTCAAAACACAAGTCTGGCAGAAGCCACAGATCTGGACAAATAGTAGTAAAAGCAGGATTTGGCTGAGATGAGAAGAACCAAACAGGATCCAGGTCTGGGATATCAAAGAAATAACAAGGCATCCCAGTCAGTGGGGTGGAACCCTGTCCTTGGAGAAAGGACTGTCCGTGCCCTACTTGAGCACTCAGAGGAGGCCAGGGGCCAAGTAGGATGTGGAAGGACATCTGTAATCTCAGTATGTCCCTTTAGGGACTGCTGTGCTTCTCAGAGGAGGAGCCACGCAGAAGACTCTGGGTTAGTGGACACCACTTGCTCCATTTTTTTTCTCAGTCAGATACCCTGGAATCTTTCTTTCTCAGACTGACAGCCTCACCACTGTCCTTCTTCCTCTTCCTGATCCCAGCCCTTGGACACTGGAATGTGTTCAAGCAACAGCCCACCTGCCCCCATGAGCTGACCCGAAATTACATTGCAATGAACCGTGGAGCTGTGAAAGCTGGCCTGGTAACAGCCCGGGAGAATTTCCTCTACCGCCGGCTCAATGACATCCGCATCAGTGACCAGGAAGACCGGCACACAAAGAAGGAGCTGCCAGCTTTACCTCCAAACATGACGTTTGGGACCCGTGCACGGTAAGGGGGTGGCCCTGAGTGAATAGACACAACATTGGAAGATGATGGGGAAATGGAGTCTCTCTGGTGTCTGCTTCTACAGCCACACTATGAATGCTACTGAGCTAGATCCTTTCTTCTCAGGGACTCATCATAGGGTTGTGCCCAGGTTACCCACTTTCTCTCATTCAACAAACATTGATTAGGAGCTAGACTGTGTTCCTGTCTCTTCCCTCAGGGAGTTTCATGACCTGGGTGAAGGAGGTACAAAGATGGTGGATCATCCCAGTATAGCACCATCCCAGTAAGAACATGAGAGAGACTCTGGAGCCTGGTCTCAGGCCTGGACTCTGGCCACAACTAGTTGTTGGATCCTTACCTCCATTTCTGCACTTGTATAATGGGATAATGATAGTATCTGCTTTGTAGTGTTGATGTGACATTTCAATGGCATACTGCATATAAAAACCACAGCATTTAGGCCTGGGATATAGTGAGTGCTCAATACATGTTAGTTATTATTAATGTTTAAAGCAGCACAATGTCTACTAGGTTTGGTTTTTGGTTTGACCCAAGTACTATGATCTTAAAATTACTTATACATAGTAGAGTGCACAAACAGTAAACGTTCAGTTTAATGAACTTTTACAAATAGAAATATTCACGTAATCACTATCTGTATGACGATGTAAAATATATTTAATAACCGAGAAAATCTCCATGTTCCTTCAGAGACATTACCAGTCAGTCTTTGGCCCACTATCAACTTTGATTGTCTGAATTTGTATCAGCATTCCAGTTGCTCTACATTCTTGCTGATATTAAGTACTAATAGCTTTACAGCAAGGATGTGACCAGTGTGGGGCTTAGATTATATCTTTAATGCTAATGAGGATCCACAGTCCACACAGAAATCGGCAGGAAGATGGAGACCCCAACATAAAAGGACTTCTCCAGTCAGTGCCCCTAACTTTTCTTACCCTGTTCAGACCCCTGCAGTACCAGTCAACTGTACTCCATGCTTCTAAAAGGATCCTTTCCCAAATTACCTTCTACATGACTGCTGACGTTATTTTCCTAAAGCACAGAACAAATTATATAGTTCTCTACACAGATGTCTGTAATAGCTCCTGTTCTGAAGCCCATCAGCCCTTATGGCCTCCTTGCCCTTATTCCTGAAGACAGCCTGGAACAGTGTAGAACAGAGTCTATGTTGTGCATTAAACTAGTCCACACGCATCATCAAAGATCTCATAAACAGCATGGAATTGCCCTGGGGTCTAGTCCCACCTTTGTTCCTAACTGGCCATGTCCCTCTTTCCCTGTTACCACATCTGTAAATACAGGGTCACCCTGGTAACCTGGCATTCTATGATTCTCAGGATTTGTTCTATCTCTTCATCACTTCATTTGATTTTCACTCAAACCACATCAGAATGTAGGCATATTTATTTTCTGTGTCTCATGCCAGGGATAGCTGAGGCAGGGAGAGATTATTACTACAAATTCACACAACTTCTTCATAGCAGAGTTTGATCTGTCTTTTTAATCTAATAATTCTAAAAACAGTAATACATTCTGCAGGCATATATATGACATTGTTGTTCTTGTTAGGTGACAATGAGTCAGTACCAACACATAGTGACGCTATGCATAACAGAATGAAACACTGCCTGGTCCTGCTCCAACCTCAAAATTGTTGCTATGCCTGAGCCCATCACTGCTGTCACTGTGCCAATCCATCTCACTGGGGGTCTACCTCTTTTTCTCTGAATATCCTTCTCCAGCAACTGGTCCCTTCTGATAATATGTCTGAAATGTGAGAGAAGAAGTTTGGCCATCCTGGCTTCCAAGGAGCATTCTGGTTGTACTTCTCCCAACACAGATTGGTTTGTTCTTTTGGCAGCCCATGGCACTTTTAATATTCTCCTCCAACACCATAACTCAAAAGCATCAATTCTTCTATGGTCTTCCTTATTCACTGTCCAACTTTCACATGCATATGAGTTTATTGAAAATACCATGATTTGAATCAGGCGCACCTTAGTCCTCAAACTGACATCTTTGCTCTTCGGTGTTGACACTGGAATATACAAACCCTAGAGCTTATCTGGTTCAAAGTTCTCATTTAAAACAAAATGAGTTCAGAGAGGTGAGGAGACTTTCTCAAGGTCATACAGTACGTAGTTCATCGTGCTGAGCAGACAGGCTCCCTGTACAATGCTCTGTTGTCTATGTTTTACCTCCTAGGTCCTGGGACATAGTGTGAACACCTACAGTTTCTGCTTCTGGGGTTGCATTTTTCCATTATATTGCTTCAGTCAGCTGGGCTTCAAAAGGCCATTGATTCTCATCTAGCTTTCAATATAAAATCTTAAATTGCTATAAAACCGAGTGGCTACAATTCCAGAGAAAGGGCATGATGAAGTGCTGGCTATATCTTCTGTGATAGTAAATGGGCTTTGCATATGCAAATTGAATGGATTTTAAAATGGTATTTAATGACAATTTTCGTTGCAGACATTAACATTAATTGCACAAAAATGAAAATGCTGCATTAGGTTGCTGTTAGCAGCAAATATCATGGCCATAAAGCTTTATCTTTATCAACAGCAGTCCTTTCTGATGTGACAGGACACCTCAGCAAATTGCAGGCAAAAGGGCTTTTATGAAACAAAAATGTCCCCCAAAGCAGGCCCAAATCAGCATCAATTTCACTTTATTTCTTCATAAATGGAGGTTAAATGGCTGCTGGAAAAGCTTTCACTAAGATGCCCAACCTGCCCTGAAAACCCCTCAACTTCACAGCATAAATGTAGAGGAAGGGTTTAAAATAATCACCCCTCTCTGGTAATGGGGCTATTACTTTAAAGTTATGGGGCCAAAGCCCATTCTCTAATAACCACCTTTTACAAGCCTTGATTGTATTTATTTCTTTATTTTTACTTTAAAAACATGTTTAAAACCAAATCTGATTACATACACCCAATTACCAAAGAGCTGTTGGGGTGATTTGGTCTAACAAACAAACAAACAAACAAACAAACAAACAAACAAGAAGGAGTCATTCCCTCATAATTACTGATATGCTCAAAATAAAGTCCCTGGTGGTTGCAATCATGGTAAATATAACTCATATCACTGAAATGTACACTTAAATATGGTTAAAATGGCGAATTTGGGGTTATATATCTTTTACCACTAAAAGTGTTTGGCCATTGTTCAAAAGGTTGGTAGTTGGAACCTACCCAGCAGTACCACAGAAGAAAGACCTGGCAATCTGTAGCCCCCGGGACTGCCATGAGTCAATCCATTCTGCGGCAGTGCACTGGTTTGCTTTTTGTTTGACCACAATAACGTGTTACAATAAGTAAAAAATAAAAACCCACCTCAGACTAAATGAAAAGCTCACTCTAAACTTGAGAGGCGAATAAACAGAGGAGCGGTCACCACTAGCTGAGCTAAATTCCCAACCACAACTAATCCCCACTCCTGGCCTCCCCACCTGACCTTCACCATCAAATCCCTTGCCCTTTATATAATTTGCAATGAGCAAAATAAATACAATATGAGGAGACAACACCCTCTCTTTTCCACACACCTCCTTCTACCTACCCACCCAATGCTTCAATCCCAGACAGGATTCCAACCTGAATTTGGAATTATTCAGCTACTTCTTCCCAGTTAGTTTTTTCAGTTCCCAATCCACACCAATTTGCTATGGATCATCACTAACTTGTAAAGGCACATTTTAGCCACAGGCCTCGATGACATAAAAGAAATGAAGACGTCAGCAATTCTCTGGAAAATGGAGCTGTGTAGGCCTGTGGTCCACAGTCACTGAGGCGTATAGTGGACTCACACAGGATTTTTGTGAGTATTTGAAAATTATAAATTTGAATGAGCTGCCATATTAAAAAGGCAGGAGACTTCATGTAGGAGCCTGCTTCTTTTAAAAAATCAGATGCCCAGGCAACTAAACTCTGCTCTCCCTCCTGGAACCAGGGAGCTGGGGCTAAGAGGTGGTGCCCCTTTTGGACAGAATCCACACAGTTTATAATTTTCTGTTTATCATGGCATTCATGTGGCCCAAGCTCTCACATTTTCATTATCTACCTGATCCCTGTAAGCACTAAGCCCCAACTTCTGGCATAGACTAGTTTGTCCTCTTGATTGCTCATCTAGCTGTTGCCTCTTTATGTATTCCTACCACCACTTATAAGGAGCTCTGGTAGCATAGTGGTTACGACTCGGGCTGCGAACCTTAAGGTCAGCAGTTTGAAACTACCAGCTGTTCCGCAGGAGAAAGATGAAGATTTCTGCTCCCGTAAATATTTACAGCCTCGGAAACCCTGTACAGGGTCACTATGAGTTGGTTCTGACTCCACAGCACATAACCACAGCCACCACTATCACTTATACCTCAATGTAAAGAACACAAAAATCCTCACAACTGGACCAATACACAACACCATGATAAACAGAGAGAAAAGGTTGAAATTGTCAAGAATTTAATTTTATTTGGATACACAACCAGTGCCTGTGAAAACAGCAGTTACGAAATCAAACAATGCATTCATTACATTGAACAAATCTGCTGCAAAAGATTTCTTTAAAGTACTCAAGAGCAAAGATATCACTTTTAGGACTAGGGGGCTCCCGACCCAAGACATAATATTTTCAATCACTTCATACACACACAAAAGTTGGCCAGTGAACAAGGAAGACTATAGAAGAATCAATGCATTTGAATTATGGTGCTGACGTAGAATAGTGATATACCATGGACACCAGTAGGATAAGCACCAACTGCTAACTGTGAAGTCAGCAGTTCAAACCCACCAACTTCTCCTTGGAAACCCTATACATGAATTGGAACCAACTCAACAGCACTTAACAACACCACCACCAGAAGAACGAATAAATCTGTGTCCGAAGAAGTACAGCCAGAATGCTTCTTGGAAGTGAGACTTTGTCTCATGTACTTGGACATATTATCAGGAGGGACCAGTCCCTGGCAA